TAACCCTAACCCTAACCCTGCCCCTGCCTTCCATTGCGCCGTTGCCTGTGCGGACAATGTCGCCATTGGGCAGCACGACCTCCATGCCGCAGTGGAACATAAAGTGATCTCCGTAAGGGGTGTATCCAGCGCCTCGTTCGGCCATGTTGCCAACGACACTTCCCCATCCGATGTCGGGGCAGTCGACCCACAACTGCGAGTTGCGCCTCTGGAGCTCCTCGTAGAGGTCAAAGTAGGAAACGCCCGGCTCGAGCAAGCAGAAGGCAGACTCCTCGTCAATCTGAAGCACCTTGTTCATCCTCTTGAGGTCGAGAATCGCCGTCCCGCGCAGACGTACAGCGGACCCGCCATATCCGAGGTTACGACCCATGGAGACGGCGTGGAGCGGTTGCTTATACTTGTTCGCAAGCTTGACGATGCTGGCCACCTCTTCTACGGAAGCAGGCTGGATGTGAGCGCTGGCCATGAAGCGTTCCGGCTCGTCGATCTTGAAAAAGTCTTCAAAGTGAGGCAGGCTGAGGTAGTCCGAGTGGCCATCCGGCTCGGGCTTGCCGGTGTTGTTGACAAAGAAGTTCTCTTCGCCGACGATCTTCTTGCCTTCTGCAACGAAGCTCTCGAATTGCTCTGGCGTCACATCTTCGACGAGTACGTACTGTGGCTTGGATCCCGACTCAATGTGCTCATCAAGAAGCCGTGAGTAGGCCTTGAAGCCCTGTCGATAGGCTGACTGGTCCGAGCCTTGACCGGCGACGGTGGCGGCGAGCCTGTTTGAGGTGCTGCCGTCGCCTGACAGTACAATGCTGCTTGCGCCGTCGGGAGCCATGCTGCAAGACTGAAGAAATGAGTTTCAGAGGTGAAAGTACGCTTGGGCACGCCCGTACTAGTATGGACCACTGAAGGTCTGTATGCTCGAAGAGTCACTTTTGTACAGAAGCTCACCAGCGACGCTCGGACCCCTGCTACCTCAGGTAAGATCCTCAGTCCAGGAGGTTTAGCCGATGGTGCGGGTTCCCGTTTTCCAGGACGCGCAACAGGGTCCTGAAGCGGTGGCGCACGCTCTGTCTTGCGGAGCCCCGCACGGCTGACGCGGGGAAATTTTTGAAGGCGGAAAAGCGAATCCGATGCTTCGACAGGCAAGGGTCCTTGACGTGCTTCTGCAGATTTTACCGCAGTGGAGGGAGGTCACGTTGGCACGTCTCGCTGCTTCGACGCGTCTCTACCAGGGCGTCCTGGCAGCTAGCTGGAGGTGGACACCTCGATGGCCGCTCAGTAGCAAGGCCGATGTTCGACGCACCTTGAGGGTTTGACGCACCCTGAGGGTTTGGTGTGGGCGCCTCAAATGTGGAGGCATTGGGAAAGAATGACTGCTGGTCGGTCGAACAAAGCCGGATGATGTGCAACATCGGAGCAACGGCACAGACATGGCAAAAAACGTCGTACATTGGAGAAGCTGCAAGGGCATGTTGGGGCTGCGTTTGAGAGTTTGGCAGCTTCGCATCTCTGAGCGTGACTCCGAGACGCGATGTGCAGATTGGCGTGCAGACGGGCGGCATGGAAAAGAGGCCGATGCCCAGCTTGAACAGGGACAGCAAAGGGCGATGCGCCGATTGGCAAGCACAAGCGCCAAGCTTGAGTGCAGGAAGCTGCACGAATGCGGCGGCTATCACAGCGAGAAGGCGGGTGGTAGCACAGCGGACGTCGATGATCAGTCGCGCCTGGACGTCGTCTCGCACGAGTAGCGACGGCACGGGATGGAAATGGCGGCATGGCCAACGTCTGTTGCCTCAAGAAGGAGCGTCTACGGGCTCGCACTGTGGATGGGGGAGGACAACAGGGAATCGATGGCAGGCAACAAAGACATGGTCTCGTGCGAAAGCTCGACCCTGCGGAGGAAGTCACGGAGACAAAGCTGATTCGTGAAACAGAAGAACCAAGGTTGGCCTGCAGGGTCGGGAATGCCAGACCATCGAACGTGTTGGTCGGCAGCGCAAAGCGGCACGGGCTCAGAGGCGAAGGGGCAAGACTGCACCCGCCTCCGACACCTCGGTTAAGGGTCCAAAGGTCAGGCTGGTGCGAGCCGCCACCAAAGCCTTTGATTCTTTTTTGGCGAGGCGTGCTAAGCGGAGTCGAGGTGTGGAGACGGGGTCCGACTGGCAGGATACCCCGCAATCCATTTTCTGGGACAGGACCCCGGAATCTTGGCCTCTCCGGGCAGCGGAGCGGAGGCCACGTCCTTTGCGGTACAGCAGACGCTTGGTCTGCACGGGCGCGTGGAATCAACGGTTGCTGAGAGCCACCTCCGGCGCCTGGGCATCTCGTACCGAGCGTCTCGTGCACGCTCCACGTCGTACAAGGTGACAAATGCCTTGCTGATGATAGCGCGCGCGTCGTTGCTGTCTGCGCTTGCCGACGGAGACAGCAAGCAAGCGGCCGCCATTGTCTAGCTTTCCTCCAGCAGCGACAGAGCATGAAATGGCAAAGAGAAATGGATATAAAGCGGCAGCTGTTGGCCGAAAGCGAGCGTTGCGATCCTCGCGAACAAAGCTCCGCTTGATCAAGCCTCCATATTGAGATCTCTCTCTCCCTTCTTCGTACCCTCTGCTTTTGTACATCCACAATGGCCCCGACAGCCACTCAAGAGCCTGTCCCTGTGCCCGTCACCTCCAAGGCGGCGCCGAGTCACGGCTATGTGCACCCCACTGATATCCTGCCGTCCGGCTGGCCGACTGCCACCGACCTGTCCGGTGGTGCTCAGCCTCGTCGCTTTGAAGGCACCATCTTCGACGTCATGACGCGCGGTACCATCCCCAAGGAGCTCCACGGCACATTCTACCGCATCATGCCCGACTACGCGCAGCCTCCCACCTACTACAAGGGCGGCGAGCTCAATGCACCCATCGACGGTGACGGTACCGTGGCCGCCTTCCGCTTCAAGGACGGCAAGGTCGACTACAGGCAGCGATTCGTCGAGACGGATCGCTTCAAGGTCGAGCGCAGGGCAAGGAAGAGCATGTACGGTCTCTACCGCAACCCCTACACGCACCACCCCTGCGTCCGACAGACGGTCGAATCCACTGCCAACACCAATGTCGTCATGCATGCCGGACGATTCCTCGCCATGAAGGAGAACGGCAACGCCTACGAAATGGACCCTCACACCCTCAAGACGCTCGGCTACAACCCGTTCAACCTCCCCTCCAAGACCATGACCGCCCACCCTAAGCAGTGTTCCGTCACCGGAAACCTGGTCGGCTTTGGCTACGAAGCCAAGGGTCTGGCCACCAAGGACGTCTACTACTTTGAGGTTGACCCTTCTGGCAAGGTGGTCAGGGACCTGTGGCTCGAGGCGCCTTGGTGCGCCTTCATCCACGACTGTGCGCTCACGCCCAACTACCTCGTACTTATGCTGTGGCCCTTCGAGGCCAACCTGGAGAGGATGAAGGCAGGCGGCCACCACTGGGCGTACGACTACACCAAGCCAATCACCTGGATTACCATCCCTCGTGGTGCCAAGAGCAAGGACGAGGTCAAGTACTGGCACTGGAAGAACGGCATGCCCATCCACACCGCCTCGGGCTTCGAGGACGAGCAGGGCCGCATCATCATCGACTCGTCGCTCGTGCACGGCAACGCCTTCCCCTTCTTCCCGCCCGACTCGGACGAGCAGAAGAAGAAGCAGGAGGCCGACGGCACGCCCAAGGCGCAGTTTGTGCGCTGGACCATCGATCCGCGCAAGGACAACAACGAGCAGCTGCCGGACCCCGAGGTGATCCTCGACACTCCCTCCGAGTTCCCGCAGATCGACAACAGGTTCATGGGTGTCGAATACTCGAGCGCCTTCATCAATGTCTTTGTTCCTGACCGCAGCGACGGCAACAAGAACGTCTTCCAGGGTCTCAATGGTCTCGCCCACTATAAGCGCAAGGAGGGCACCACCGAGTGGTACTATGCAGGCGACAACTGCCTGATCCAGGAGCCGGTATTCAGCCCTCGATCCAAGGATGCACCCGAAGGTGATGGCTTTGTCCTCGCCATCGTTGACAGGCTCGACCTGAACCGTAGCGAGGTGGTCGTCATCGACACACGCGACTTCACCAAGGCCGTAGCGGCCGTTCAGCTGCCCTTCGCCATCAGGTCTGGCATTCACGGCCAGTGGATCCCTGGTGAGGTGACTCCCGACTTTGAAACCAAGGGCCTTGTCGATTTACCCAAGGAGGAGCACTGGGCGCCCCTTTCGCAGAGTCCCTACGACCCCGACGCTTGATGCAGTGAGAGTTGCAACTACCTAGCCCCCCTGTCTGTGCAGTACTGTATCTCGTTCTCGTCAAGCTTCACCACATACCAGAATAGGACTGAATACCAAATGATAGTCAACATGCTTTGTTGCTTGGTAGCGCGGTCGATCGGAGCTCGGGCGTGAGCGGGTACGACTGTTGACTGAACGTGGTGTTGCATAGCGGAAGCAGAACAGCTGGTGACGCTAGTCGATGACGATGGCCTCGTGTTCAGATGTGCCGCCGACCAGAGCTTGCTCCCTCGACTGCTGGCCAGCTAGAGTATCGATTTGAGATCCGTTCGGGCGAGACTTGGCACCTGTTCCGCGATTTCCACTGGCACCATTCACCGATGGATTCGCTGCGCTTCTGCTCTTCTTTGGCCGTGCGTTCTCTGAGCTGGACTCGGGCTCGAGATCTGCTTGGATGCCAGATCGCTTCCCAGTCGTCTGAGCGCTCGGCGCCTGGCTGGCCGTGTTGGCGTTCGGCGGCAGAACTTGCACGGGTGGTAGAAGGTCGAGCTTGGAAGGAGACGACACGCTCTCGAGAGGATGACGGAGGAACCTGGTCGCTTTGGGCCCGATTTCGAGGTAGACATTGACCGTGTATGCGGTCGCTTGGTAGCTCTGCTCGATGAGCTGCGAAAGAATGCCATGGACGATCAAGCGATCCACCATGTCGCGATGAAGCGTGATCTTGCCGCCTGCGACGGCTGCCACGTCGACGACGCCTGCTTTCGTCGACTTTGAAGCGCTGGCTTTGGAGGAACCACCTCTAGCATCGGACAGATTCGGATCGAGGTTGAATTTGCCTCCGCCGAGACCTCGAGCGACGTCAGAGAGGCTGGTGAGCGTGATTCTGCCGCCCTGCCTGCACATCTCTGCGAGGATGACGAGGAGCTGGTACATTTGCATGCGCGCATCCATGAGAAGGTCTTGACGGTGCTCTGTGCAGTTGTCGCAGATGGCACAGCTGCGTTGGCGCTGAGCGTCGCCCTTTTCAAACATGTCGGAAAAGTAGTCTGCAAACAGCTGTCTTCGGCATCGTGCCGACTGGGCGTACTCGAGCATTGCCGATAGCTTCTCTTGACCGGTGGGCTCGCTGGCGACAAGGGAGCTCATTCGGATCGCATCCTGCGGACGATAAAAGAGAAGGCAGTCGGAAGTCTTGCCGTCTCGACCTGCACGGCCTGTTTCTTGGTAGTATGCGTCGAGCGACTTGGAGATGCAGGCGTGGATGACAAAGCGTACGTCTGGCTTGTCGATACCCATGCCAAAGGCGATGGTGGCGCAGACGACCTGAATTCGACCTTTACGCCAGTCGGTGTGGATGCGCTGCTTGCTGGCATCGTCGAGGCCGGCGTGATAGGTGCCGGTGGCGATTCTGCGACTGCTGGGTTCCATCAAGGCTCTGGCCATCGCCTCGGTGTCGGACTGGGAGAGGCAGTATACGATACCGCAGTGGCCGGCATGGTGGGCGAGGATGTAATCGACGATGGCCTGTGATGCAGCCTGAGCCTGCTGGGGACGCTGTACGACGCGATAAAGGAGGTTAGGCCGGAAGAGGGGAGCGGTAAAGTAGATCGTGCGCATAGGAGCTGCGTTGTCGGGCTGTGTGATGGGGGGCAAGTCGATGATCTCGATGATCTCTTTGAGGACCTTGGGCCCGCAGGTTGCGGTGAGGCACATGACGGGTACCTTTGGAAACAATCGTCGAAGCAGGGAGAGCTTGGCATAGTCTGGCCTGTAGTCGTGGCCCATCTGTGAGCAGCAATGGGCTTCGTCGATGACGATTCGCGAGAGCCTGCCTTGTTCGTAGGCGTTCTGCAGAGCCGAAAGGCAGGTTTTGGACTTGGCGATGCGCTCCGGCGTGACGTAGAGGAGCTTGATGCCGTCAGTGCGATGGTCTTCCAGGGGCTCTGAACTCGCAGACGCGTTGGAGTTGGCGCGTTTCGACGGGCCAGCTAGGGCGGGGCCATGCCTGATCTTCTTGAGGATGGCGGTGGAATCTTCGCGAGAGGTGCTCCCGCACAGGAGTTCGGACTCGATGCCGACTTCTTTGAGATGAAGAACCTGATCTGTCATGAGAGAAATGAGTGGGGAGACGACGAGGGTGACGCCGGGGTTGAGGATGGCGGGAAGCTGGTAGCAGAGAGATTTGCCGCCGCCTGTTGGCATGACCACCACGGCGTGGCGTGCGTCCATGGCGGCGTTGATGACGGCTTCTTGGCAGAAGCGGAATGAAGGGATACGAAAGACGGATTTGGCTGTCGATCGAATGGTGGACGACCAATTTGCAGAGGAGGAGGTGTAATCGTGGCCGAGCTTGCGCGGAGCCTGTGTGCCGTCTTGCTTGGCTGACTCGAGGTATTCGGCATGCACCTTGCGGCGCTCGCGGAGGAGCGATTGCTTGAGTTGCTGAAGGTCAGCAATCTGACCACTGACCGACTCTATCTCCGCATCAAGTTGTTCGAGCTTGGTGACGACCGCTTCGTCGTAGATGATGTCAGCGTCGTTGCCGGCGTACGTTTTTGCAGTGCTCGAGCGCGCAATCCCAGAGGCCTCATCGAGGACTTGGAAGTCGCCGTCGCTGTCGACATCCGCGCTCATGGTCTCGGCCCAAGTAGAGGAAAGCTGTGTGGGAGCGCTGAATGGGTTGCGGGCATGGTGGCCCTAATGAGCGATCGATGGCTCGAGTCTTGAATGCAATCGTCGAGGAGCTTGGACTTGCCTGAATCCAGGGTCTAAGGTGGAGGCAACAACTTCCGTGCCAAAGCTGAGTCCAACACACTGCTTTCGCGCTGAGAAAGGGCAAAAAGCGAACGCGAAATGCGTGGCCAAAAAATCGCCAAAAAATCGCAGAATCCTCGGGCGTCGGAAGAGGCCGATTGGACCCTGTGGAGTTGGAGAGTCGACTGCGGCTCGGCATGCTTCCGAGACGAAGTTGCCTTCCCATCCATCACCCCCATCACATCATCACTAGGGCGCCTTCCGTTTCGTCACAGTGGCGTGAGATCGTTCACATCATGTCGTCGCCACAGCAGCAGCAGCTGCCCCCAGAGCGCTCGATCTTCGGCGTGGATCCGCTCGACGACTTTGCAACGATGGTGGGAGACTGGATCTTCGCCAACTCTCAAGGCCGCTCCAACGTCGAGGTGAGTATCGCAGATCGATGCAGCCGTGTCGTCACAGTCAGGAATACTAACTCTAGAGGCCACGCTCCGCGCCCTCCCTGACTCTCGCCACGTTGCTATCACAGATCGAAGGCAAAATCGGCCAGATCATTGACCAGGAAACGGGCGAAAGGATACAATTGCCCGTGCGCAACGAAACGGTCGTCGATCTGAGCCGCACTCGATTTGACAGCCGAATGACCATCGTAAGTCGATACCTCTCTCGTGAAGGTGATCCCAAGCAGTCACTCATGCCATTCTACTCTTGTTCTCCCGCGCGCGTGCAGTCGCAGCACGCCCAGTACAACCGCATCCTCAACTCGCTCGTCTCGCGTTCGGGCGAGAGCTCTTACACGGGCGCCAAAGTGAGCTACCAGCGAAGAAAGGAGATCGACTACTTTCATCCTGCGCCAGGCGGCAAGGTGCGCGTCACCCGGGACGCCGACACGCTCGCCATCAAACCGGATGGCATCATCCAAAAGCAGAGAATCGCCGACCTCAACATCCACTGCCCGAATCGACTGTTCGACTATCGCATCAGCATCAACACCGAGGCACCCGGTAAGTAACGACTCCTCTGCCACTTGCATCCCGCAGCACTCTGGGCTGACCTCGTTCCTATGCTGGCACAGCCGACAAGCCCACGTCCGATCATGTCTCGATCCGCGAAAAGAACCGCCTCTCGTACACGCATCAGAACTTCATCGTCGACCTCACGCAGGTCACTGTGGCGGACAAGGTAAGTCGAAGTAGATTCGTTCACATCTCTGTTGGTCTGCATCTGACCTTGACCGATCTTGTCGTACTTCGACGCCCAACAGCCGCAAGAGCCCATCCACGAGCTCGAGATCGAGATTCGCGACGTGGCTCAGTTGATGCAAGCCGCGTCGCAGGCCAGGGCCAAGACCAACTCGAACGGATCGACAGCGAGCGCACAGGAGTGGACGCCGTTTGACGATCAGGTACTCATCTTCCTCAACAACATCCGCATGCTCATCAGGTAAGTGGATCTGGGCGGGCGTGGTGCTCGTCGACAGCGACTGACTCTGTGCCATCTCATGCTTCTACCGCCGGCTTCGACTTTGAGTAGGAATGGCTCGGCACCGGACGAGCGACGATAATGCGCGGCTCAATTGGCGGCCATGTCAAAGCACTGTTGTGTAGATAATGTTACAGATTGCAAAGATTAGCGGAAACTTCCTTTATAGACGCCGAGGCCCTGGCGCACGATTCTGGACATCGGGTGCGTCGCGGAGCCAAGACGCTCGACGGCGTGCCTGTATCTCTGCTTGGCTGCCGAGAGACTGGGGATTGCGGAAGAGATTGTAAGGGTCTAGCTGCATCTTGATGTTCTCGAGACGCTGAATGGACGAGCCGTAGTAGAGGTGCCTCCATTCATTCTCGTCGAGTTCGGCATCGACGTAGCACGAGTAGCCTCCTCTGCCGATGCGCGAATCGTCGATGGCGCGATAGACGCGCGTGGCGAGCTGTCGGGCGTACTCGTGACCCGAATGCGCAAGCTCCAGGAAGCTGGCGGTTCCGACGGCGATCTGGATGAGCCAGAGACCGTCGCGATGCGGGAAGCTGCTCAGCTCTTTTGCCCTGGGTTGGGCATGGGCAGGGCGACCGCCGCCAAAGAGCTCAAAGTAGATGTTCCACGCCCAGAAGGTGGTCTTGCCGTCGGCGAGTTGAGCTTCTTGCCCTGCGGTGAGGCTGGTGTCCCAGATGTGTTGGAAGAGCGGCCGAAGAGCGGCTGGATCAAAGCCTCGATCGCGTTCGAGCGTCACGGCCGACTTGGTGACAAAGTTGTTGTGCTGCTTGTGGATGGCTTCGGTGTCGAGCTTGTGCTCGCCCTTGCCAAAATCGTCCCAGTCCTGCATGAGTTCGAGATAGGTGAGCAACTTGACCTTTTGGAGGTCAGGCTTGGGAGCCGAATGAGATGCGAGCAGCTGGCGTAGCCTGGTCTCCAACGCAGACCATTGATGTGCGGGACCGAGGTGGATGCCTTTAACTTCGATGGTGATCGGACGTTGGTGCGAGGGCTGTGGATCGCTCCTGGAGGGCTTGCGAAGCTGTACGTGCAGGCCGAGGTCGTTGGAGAGGTTGGGCTCGAGAGCTAGAGCCTGAACGGCCGTCATGACCGAGAGCGCCTGGTCGACGGAATCGAGCGAAGGAGTCCATCTGAATTCGAACGAGACGACGGGAGGGGATGCATCGTAGGAGCGGAAGACGAAGCGAGTGACGATGCCGAAGAAGGAGCCGCTGCCTCGGAGAGCCCAGAGGATGTCTGTGTTCTGGTGTTCCGAGGCGGTGACAAGGGAGCCGTTTGCGAGCACGAGATCTGCCTCGAGGATGTTGTCGGTGGTGAGACCCCACTTGCGCGACATGGGTCCGAAGCCGCCGCATAGGCTGAGACCTCCGACGCCGACGGCGGCGCACGTTCCTGTCGACATGGCGCGGTGCGCGTCATGCTGGGACCAGAGGCCCTTTACGACGTCGCCGAGACGTGCGCCCGGGCCTACTTCGACGAGCGCCTTGTCCGGATGAGAGGTGACGTTGCTGAGGTTTGCGAGGTCGATGATGACAGAGCCGTCCATGCCGCCGCTGCCGTAACCGGCAAAGGAATGGCCTCCGCTGCGTGCAGCTATGGGAGCATCGGTGAATTCGGAAGCGCAGAGGACGGCTTGCTGTACTTGGGAGGCGGAATGCGGATAGGCGATGAGAGTGGGGTTGTAGTGGAAGACGACGTTGTCCGAGGCCGAGGCTTGAAAGTAGAGGTCAGGCGAGCTGATGTCGGCCGCCACGATGTCGATGCCGGCATTGGCGAGGCAAGCCTGCAGACGTGTTCTGGGAGCCGTGCGCGGTATCGCGTCACGCGCTTCGATGTGAGACGGCCCAAGGATCAGCAGCGAGGCTGCGAGGCCAGCCAGGCGCCAGCGCATGGCTGAGAGGAAGGTCGTGAAGAGGCGCAGTCTTGAAGGGGAGGTAACGTGTGTGGCCACGTAGGAAAGAGTCAAGGCATGCTCGAAGGTGCAAGTGGGATCACGCTTCGATGGTGAATGGGAGATTATAGAGAGATGCGCCTAAGACAGGATGCGGTGGAGACGGAGGCTAGCAAGCATGATGGCGACGAGGCGATGGCAGGCCAGCCTGCAGGCAGCTTAGCTGAATGCGAGCTGTGGCTCAGATGAAGGCCAAGGAGGAGGCCCTCGCGGCAGCCAGCTCCTTGCAGAAAAGGGCATGCACGAAGCGGCGGAGTCTGGAAATCAAAGCTTGGGGCCGACAGCCGCGCCAAGGGTCCCTTCCTTCCTTCCTTGCCGAATCCACGCCAGCAGAAGAAGAGTCGGGGATGCCGACGTGAGGCATGCAGGGTTGTCACACGCCACCAGCGGCCACCAGCCTAGTCGTCGGCCCAGCCTCCTTGTTTGGGTGATTCGCAATTTCACATTTTCAAACGCGGCGCCGTCCCAGATCGTCGGGAAGCGCCGAGACGCTCGCTTTGAGGTGCGCGTCGAGGCTGCATCGCGTCTTCCTTGCAGGCGATTTTTGGGCAGAGCCTCCACTCTGAGCTGCACTCCGAGCCGGGGCTTCATTAGAAATGCACGGCAGTTCATACGCTGCTCGTCCATCACACGGTCAATCATCACACCGTCACATCACACACTCGTTCGGCTTGTCCGCGGTCGGCCCAATTCTGCCATCAAGCGCCTCGCCATGGCTGCCTGCACTCGGCTCTCCTCATCCTAAGCGTGCCTATGCGCCGTCCGCTCGAAACCGGAGCAGCTTCACGTTTCCATCATGTCGACGACGCTTTGGCCGCCTCTTTCAAGCCTGCCGAGCCTCGGCTGGAATCGACATCCTTCGATCGAGCTCACAGTGATTTTAGCGGCCTTCAACGCCTCGCATCACAGTCCAGCATCGGCACTCTCGATATCTACCGCTTCGGTCGCTTCCGTCGCTGCTTCGTCAGACTCGGGAGCGCAAGGACTGATCCTCTGCGCCCACGCCGCTCCGCTATGCATCGTCTTGGTCGCCACTTCAGCTGCAGTGCTCCGCCGTCTCACGCGATCATCCTCTCGAGCTGGAGAATCGGGTCGCAAGAGCACATCATCCGTCGCTTCCCTCCTCGCGTACTTCGCTCCGTTCGTCACCGATCAGGACGTCCGCCAGCATCGTCGCGAGCAACACAACCACAGCCCTGCATCCCCAGCATCCCATCTGCCAAAAAGCGCAATCTCGCTTCAGGGCTTCCACCAGCAGCGCAAACGGCTAAATCGTCTCCTCGTCGTCAGCCTAGTTCAGCTCGTCCTCACATCGACCGTCACCGGCTACAGAATCGTCGCAGACAACGCCCACGCCGCCTTTCCGTTCCTTTCCCAGTCCCTCGCTTGGGCGCTCGTCTCCCTTCGGCTCTTTCTACGACCCCCTCAAACCCCCTCCTTGCTCCTTGCAGCTCTCCTGCTCTCCCTCACCATCTCGTCCATCGTCCACCTCTTCTCCTTCGTCCCATGGTTCGCAGCCCAGAAGGTCTTCGCCAGCTCGCAACTAGCTGTGGTGCTCCTCTCAGCTACCAATGTCGCCATCAGCATCTATTCCACCTCCCTCCTCCTGCGTATGCCCATCGCTCCCGGTGGCTACGAGGCAGTCGTCGATCTCGACGAGCAGCTGCGACACCATCCCGACGCTGTAGACAAGCTCCATCCGACACATCAAGATCTCGCTTCCACCTACCAAAGCTGCCCTACTTCGCCCGAAGACTACTGCACCCTCTACGAGAATCTTTCATACTCTTGGATGGCCCCCATCCAGAGCCTCGCCCTCCGCCGCTCTCTCGTGCCGACCGACGTGTGGCGTCTTCGCTCCATCAACGACACCCGCCTCCTCTTCCGCAAATTCAAAGCCCTCCTCCCACCTACGCCACAAGATGCACCCACACTCCGCACTCGCCTCCTCTCGCGCATCCTACGTGCCAATGCAAACGACATCGCCCTCGATGCGTGCTTCAAGCTCATCAGCGTCAGCTTCGCCTATCTCGGCACGTACATCCTCAAAAGCATCCTCGACCAGATCCAGCTCGCCTCTGCCAATCCTCCTTCCGATCGAGCCAACCAGCCGACCCAGTCCGTGGTGCCACAATCACCCGACGCAGACCTGCAGTGGTCGCCGCGCCAGAAGGCCTTCGTTTACGCATTCATCGGCCTCTGCCTCACCGTCGTGCGCTTCATAGCAGAGCTGCAGAACTTTCACCACGCGCGCCAAGTCGGCCTTCGCCTTCGCTCCACCCTCGTCGTCTCCCTCTTCGAAAAGGCGCTCAAGAGACGCGACCTCAGCGGACAGACCAAACCCACGCCATCACAATCTCAAGCACCAGAGCCTACAGATGCGCAAGCGGACCAGCTTTTGGAGGCGGTGGCCATCCCAGATGCATCTGCGTCGAATACCGACCAAGCTGCAGCTTCCATCGAATCCGACGCGGTCGATCACGACAGGCTGCATCCGGTCCACGCACAGGCATCGGTCTTGCGCAACAAGCCGTCCCGCGACACAGCATCAGGCAAGCTCAGCCTCAAACAGGTCTCGTTTGGCTCCATCCGATCGCGCGTCAGCCAGTACGCCGCGTACAGAAAGAGTAGACACGCTGAAGCCCTCAAGAAACAGGAGGAAGAGCAAGGTGCAGATGTAGGCAAGATCGTCAATATGATGGCTTCCGATGTCAACATCCTCTTGCGCATGGGCTGCGACTTGCATCAGCTCTACGGCGCCCCTCTCGAGGTTACCATCGCAGCCGTCTTTCTCTACAAGCTCATGGGCTGGAGCGCGCTCGTCGGCTTCTCTATCCTTGTCGCTGCCATCCCTGTAAACTACGTCTGGGGCGAAGTCGCCGTCAAGAAGCAAAGAGAGTACAGCACCGCCCGCGATCAACGCATGAGCCTCATGACCGAGCTCGTCGAGGCCATGCGATTCGTCAAGATTCAGGGCGTCGAATCGCAGTGGGAGGAGCGCGTCGCCGCCGCTCGCCGCAACGAGATCCGCAAACTCATCTGGTCTCGCTTCATGACCTTCCTCTTCGAGCTCTTGTGGACCGTCATCCCCGTGCTTGTCACGCTCGTCAGCTTCTTCTTCTATGTCAAAATCGCCAAGGAGGAGCTCACCGTCTCGACCGCATTCACCGCCATCGCCCTCTTCACTATGATCCGTCCTCCCCTCAATGCTATCCCCGGCTTCCTGATGGGCGGTCTCATCGCCATGGTCAGCGTACAACGCCTCGAGTCCTTCCTCAACGAGCAGGAAGTCGAAGAGGCCATCAGCCAACTCTCCCGACAGCGGACAGCCACCCAAACCCATTCGCAGGCATACCGGGACGAGGAGAATGCAGAGACCCCAGATCATGACTCAAACAACCAGCTGGCCATCAAAAATGTCACCTTTCGTTGGCATGCCAAGCAAAGCACGGCTGAGGCAGTCGTGTCTCGTAATGACCGCGAACAAACGACAAGCCAAACGGACTACTCGGATTTTTGCCTCCGCGATATCAGCGTCGATTTCCCTGCCGGTCGCTTGAGCCTCATCATCGGGCCCACCGGGTCCGGAAAGAGTAGCATGTTGGCCGCCATTCTCGGAGAAATGCTCGAGTCCCAGGACGGCCAAGTCATCCGCAACAAATTTGACACCAGCGGTGCAAGTCGCTTCAGCTATGCAAGCCAACTACCCTGGCTCGAGAATGGCAAGTCGGTCAGGGACAACATCCTCTTCGGCACGCCACTCGATGCTGCCAGGTACCAGACTTGCATCCACGCCTGTGCGCTCCAGGATGATCTTGACTCCATGGACGACGGCGATCTTACACAGATCGGTTCGCATACCGTCTCCGGCGGCCAGAAAGCCCGCATCTCGCTGGCCCGCGCGCTGTACGCACGCTCCGACACTGTCCTCCTCGACGATGTTCTCTCCGCCGTAGACACCCGTGTGCAGCGCCACCTTGTGCGTCATGCGCTCCTCGGGACACTAGCTCACGGTAGGAGGCTCGTCTTGGTCACTCACCACGTCGATCTGCTCATCGACAGTGCAGCTCTGGTCGTCTGCTTGCGCGATGGCGAGATCGTCCATCAAGGTTCGCCAGCCGAATCGAAAGCGGCTGGCTCGGTCACACTCTCCGCTAGCCGCTCTAGCCAGCAGCAAAACTCCGACACTGGGACTGATGGCGATGCGGAGCGCGATTCCCCGCACCCCGTGTCTAGGCCGGCGAGCGCATCGAGTCAGCAAGGAAGCAGCTCTGAAGACGTTCCTTCAGGCAAGCTGGCAACGCCAGAAAGGCCGGTCGAGCTAGCCTCAGGAGCTCGCACTCCGCGTCTTCTGCATCAGGAGGAGAAGCGAAGAGAGGGGGCGGTGAGCTGGATGTTCTACCGCACTTATCTCCGTGCCTCTTCGCTCCGCATCTGGGCCCTGCTTCTCATCCTGCTTCTCTTGCTGCGTCTGTCCGAGTCGTTTGGTCAGTACTGGCTCAAGATTTGGGGCGAAGCATACAGCAAGTCCAGCCTCCAAATTGCTGCGATAGCACAGCTTTGCGGCTTGCAAGTGTCATTCCCTCCAGCGCAAGGACACACGAGCTTCTATCTCACCGTGTACGGACTCAGCGGTCTAGCAGTGATCGCCTTCAACAGCTCGAGGGCCGTCTGCTTCTACGTCGCTTCCATCCGCGCATCGCAGAATCTCTTCTCGAAGCTGCTCACCAACGTCATCAAGGCGCCCCTCAGGTGGTTCGACATCACACCAGCAGGCCGCATCATGAATCGGTTTGGCACCGACATGGACTGCATCGACAATATTCTGCCCCAGTCGATTATGAATCTCGGCAACAACGCCTTCTCTATCGCGGCTTATTTCCTTATCTGCGTCGCCATTGTACCCGCCTTCTTGCTCCCGTCACTCGTCTTGGTCCTTGTTGGACCTTGGCTTGTGGGCGGCTTCCTGGCTTGCACTCGTGACATGCAAAGGATCGAAGCGACCTCGACGTCGCCCATCTATGGGCACTTTCAGCAAGCGCTCTCTGGAATCGTGACGATTCGGGCGTTCGGTACCGAGCCGCGTCTTCTCGAATCGATGCTGGATGCCGTCGACCTCTACCAGTCACTGTGGTGGGCCGTGTGTACGATGGAGGTATGGCTCAGTTTCCGAGCACAGATCCTTGGCGGCGTCTCGGTCTTCGTCGTCACGCTCCTTGCTCTCTTTGGCGCTGTTTCACCTGGGTCAGCCGGTCTTGCGCTCTCCTCGGCTCAACTTCTGTGCCAGCTCGCCTACTACCTCGTGAACGACTTTAAGAACCTCGCCAACAGCTTCAACTCGCTGGAGCGAGTCGCTGAGTACCAGCAGATGCCGCGCGAGGAAAACGAGAAGGTCTTGGCTCGTTACACACCAAATCTGCCGCCGGCAGGTTGGCCATCGGCCCAAGGACGCATTGTCTTTGACAACGTCCGATTGCGGTACGCCGAAGAGCTGCCAGAAGTCCTGCAAGGGGTAAGCTTTGAAGTCAAACCTGGCGAAAAGGTCGGCATCATCGGTCGCACGGGGAGTGGCAAGAGCAGCCTGGCTGCCAGTCTTTTCCGCGCTGTCGAGCTGAGCGGCGGCCGGATCCTCATCGATGATGTCGACATCAAGACGATTCCGTTGCAGCAGCTGCGTGGCCGGCTGAGCATCGTCATGCAGGATCCTGTCCTCTTCTCGGGCACGGTCAGGGATAACCTGGATCCTTTCAAGGAGCACGATGACGCAGCAGTGCTCGATGCGCTCAGGAAGGTGGGACTCGCCGCAACGCCCAATGGCAACGAGCACGACCGCTCCTATGAGCCTTCGTTGATCGACCTTTCCGACACTGAAGGCGACGTTGTGCCGAGAGGGCAGCAAGCGCACGATGCTGACGCGAGACACAAGAGCTCAGAGAGGAGCACCAACATGCGTCTCCAGCTCGACTCGGCCGTCTCGTCCGGCGGCGCCAACTTTTCGGCAGGACAAGCCCAGCTTTTATCCTTGGCTCGATCGTACGTATTCTTCGCCCTATCTTTGATCACTTGAGTTTTGTTCTGACCTGGAGTTGTCCGTTCTCTGTAACTTGACCTACAGGCTGCTTCGCTCGACGCGGATTCTTATTTTGGACGAAGCCACTTCTTCGACTGATAAGGAGACCGACGCGATGGTGCAGCGCGTCATCCGCACAGCTCTGCATGACAACATCGTGATCTGCATCGCCCATCGCCTCAAGAGCGTCATCGACTATGACCGCATCGTCGTCCTGCAGGACGGCAAGCTCGTCGAATGCGGCAGTCCGAAAGAGTAAGTCCATTTGATGCTTGCGGGACGTCGTCCGCAAAACTTTTTCTCACACTCTCTCTTTGCCCTTCTTTCGCCACTTCGGTTCGCGCAGACTGCTGTCGAAGGACGATGTTGACGAGTCGGCGTTCTTCAAGAACCTGTGCAAGCACTCGTCAGAGTATCAGGAGCTCTGTGCCGCCGCTGGCGTGCTCCCCTCGCTCTAGTCCATCCCCAGCCTCTCTTTCTAAAAAGTCATACTTGACCATTGGATCTGGAACATCTCATAGAAGACCCTAGAATCACGAAACTAGACATGAAACAATCGGAACATACATTGCAAAGGACGAAACAGATTCCTATGGCCATGTTCGTTGCTTCCGAGAAAGAAGGAAGAAGCTGCTTATTCCGAAAGGGTGGCACCGGCACGGAGCTGCTCGACCATGAGGATGGTCAAGTTGGGGTCACGGTGCCAGTCCTGCTGTTCGTGTTGCTGGAGGATAGGCCCGACGTAGGCGACCGAGATGGAGACGAGCGCCAGGATGGAGGTGTCGGAGATGGGGTGGTGGTAGGCATCGAGGATGTGGATGCATTTGGCAACGCGCTGAATCTGACGGCGCAGTTCCGGGGAGAGGTCGGGGTCGTTTTGATCCGAATACGTAGCGTCAATGTCCATTCCGACGCCTGAACCAGCCAGACCTTTCTGCTGTTCCGAGTTGGCACCGGCACTCGCAGCACCACCCGACGAGCTGTTGGAAGGTTGGTTGTAGGGGAAATGTTTGGCGATCCAGATGTATCCGTTCAGACCGATGATGAGGTCGACATCGAGCGAGAGGTCGTCGTTTCTGAGATGAACGAAGTGCGACTTGAGACGCTGGATGAGATTGGGCGATGCCGTGACAAGGACGCCGTTTTTGAGCTTGCCATAGCGCAGCGAACGCGTGTGAAGCGCCGACGAGTTGTCCTGGAACATCATCTGCACCTCTGCCACCAACAGGTCGTTTTCCTGGAAAAAGTTGCGCATCTGAAGTTCGTCGCTCTCCACCTTTCGACGTTGGATACCACCCGGAAGGTTGATCGACGAGAGCTGGAGCGCCGAGTCGGTCTTTGCGTTGATGTCCACCTTCCAGCGCTTGGGACCGACCTCTGTGATCCTGCCAATCACCAGATCGCCCACCTCGGCCGCATATCTCGACCTTGCCGGTCGAACGGATATCAACTTGTTGACACGCTCCACGGTGCCACACATGGACGACAGGATCTCTTCCGAGTTGGTGGACAAGAACGTTCCGTGGCCCTTCATGAAGACATGTGACGAAGCAATGCTCGTACCCGCGACCGCGATCTTCACGTCATCGTCTTGGTCGTTTCCTGCGTCCATATCGTCCTGATCCACGTCCATGTCATCCTTGGTAAAGGTGGGAGCATATTTCGAGATTCGCGACGATGAAGAGGCTGGGTGCACCTCGCCAGAGTAGTGTACGAGGCGGGCTGCTGTATTGGATCCCTTGAGCCTACGCTGCGACTGCGTGTTGGGCTTCGACGGACGCGAAGTGCTCGCCTGGACGATGAATGGCGGCAACGCATCCGCGCTAGTAGATGCCATGGTTGCTGCAGCAGCTGTCGCCATGTTGTGCTTGTCCTGCGATCGTGGCTGTAAAGGCAAGGAGGCTATGCTCAGATGGTTGTGGATAGTGAAGAAGATGCGCGACTTTTGTGCGTTCGGAGCAGGGCGAATCTCGGACCGCGTAAAAATATTCCAGCAGCCCCCGCTTTCCTCCACTCGCATCGGTGCCCGATCTTCCACGTTCCCCGATGCTCAGTACTCGCACCTGAACCGGCAGCCTTCTCAACTGATTAGGCCTTGCTCCATGACACAATCCGAGAAGCACAGCCAGTCGCTCGCTGATCAAGATGTTGAACATGTAATACAATGTGGACACGTCACAATGCGGAAACGATCACCTTCTCGATCTCTTGGAAGGCGGGGTGCGAGCCTCCGGCGCGCCGAAGAGCCTAGAGTCTCGTTCGTCGCTACGTCCCGGCCGTTTGCTCGGACTTGTCGAAGGGACCCTGCTGCGCGAAAGGCTCGTGTCGGCTCGGCCAGAACGACTGCCAGATCGAGTGAGAGAAGCCAGTTTGAGGAAGGTTTCGGCCTGCTCAAAGTCGCCGCGAGACGTCTTGACGTACTCGAACGCCACAGCGGCCTCGACGCCGTACGATTCGGTCACCCTTGCGAGCCAGCGGTCAATGAATCTGCGTGCATCTTTGACGCTGGCTCTGAAGCGCATCAGCAACTCGCGCAGCTCTTCCTTGTTCAAGCCGAAGTCTTGACGAAATCGCTCCACATCGGCGCGGTACTGCAAGCGCGCAGCCACTTCGTCGGTCTTTGAAGCGGCACGACCTTCCGCGGGCGCCCCTGCCGATGCAATCCGGCTCGAAGAGGGCACACTGCTGCGCTGGACACTCACGCTCTCCCGTTCCAATCCACGCGGCGCCTGCCGCAGCTTTGGTGAGATCGGCAGGATGCGCTCTGCACCGATTAGGGCTTCGCGGTTGATGCGGCTGGCTCTCGACCTGGACGTCTCGCCGGCCACAGGCGCCTGCACTCCCTGCGGAATCTCTGGACTTCTGGACGAAGGCGAAGCAGAGACACTCCGAGTCCAATCTGATACCCGCTGGGCCCTCTCCTCTTCCGTGCGACTCGATTCGCGCTGCGGCGATCGAGCCGCGCTCGCCTGTTGAACCCGCGGTAGCAGTGCACGGAAATCAAGGATCCGATTACCCCTGGGTGACCCGGACACTGGCCTTTCTGGCCTCGCGGCAAGGTTTGGCAAAGATGGCCGAGACCTTGCCTTGCGGATGCGCTGCTCCTCATCGCTGTCGATCGAAAAGTCGACAAAGGTGGTGTTGCGATGCTGAGCCAAGACAGGTGTCCCGATGTCGACGGGTCGCTTTGTTGCCGGTGATTTCAGCACTCCTTGTTGTTCCGCTGCCGAGGAGATGTTTGATGCTGAGGTGTCAAACACCGCATCTGCTGCCTCTTCCTGGGCGACTTCGCCCGTCTTCTCTGCTTCGCCCGACTTTCCAATTTCTTCCGACTCCTCTGCTTCGCTCGACTTTTCAACTTCTTCCGAAGCGTCGCCCTCGTCTGATTCGCTCGCCTCTTCTGACTCGCCGTCGTATGAGGACTGGCTCGCTTCTTCCAGCTCGTAGTCGTCGTCCGAATCGTCAGCATCATCCGCATCCTCTTGCAGCTGCTCGGAGGCATGGGAGGCGGCCAACACCTCAGGAAGAGGCGTTGGCTGTCGTTCATGCGGGTTGACTGCGACCTCGACTTGAAGCACGTCTTCGTCCTCTTCTTCCATGAGAGGCGGAGTCATCTCCCCGGGCCACTGGACCTCCTGCATCGCGATCGCTGCAGGTGAAGTATGTCGGCCCTCCTGCCTTGGAGATGGAAACGGCGCGGTGTCCTGCACCGAACCAGGTGGTTCCGAGGTAGCGAGCAAGGGGATTTCCACCACGATACCATCATCTGGCATGCTCCTGTCGCGCGCTGATGCTTCAGCCCTTTCATCCGAAGATCTGGCTCCGTCCAGAGCTCGAGGCGAGCCTTCCTGTGGAGCGGCTGCATCGCTCGGAACGGCGCCCTCCCCGTCGTTGGCCTTGCGCTCGGCGATGGACGACTGGCTTTCGTTATCGTCGGCATCCGCGTATGAGCTGGACTCGCTGAGCTCGTTGTCGCCCTCGGCGATGATGAGATCGATCATCTGTTTGTACGTGGCACGGTTCTTGAGGTAGTGGCTGCGCCAAGACAAGGCCGAGTGCGTTGAGTTGCGTTCAGCGAATTCTTCCCAGAAGGCATCTGAGGGCTTGGCCAGAAGCGCTTGCTGCGTCGATGCGTCGGGTACATGCCCCTGCTGTTGAACGTACTCGGCAAGCCGCCGAAGGAGCTCGTCTTTCTCCGCCTCTGTGAATTTGACGTGCGATTTCTTGTCCGGATTGTGGATCTTCTTGCGGATGCTCCTCTCTGCCAGACGGGTGCCTTCCCACTCCGAGTCTTCGTCGTCTGGATGCTCGAATCGCTCAGGGGCACCAGCGGCTTGATTTTGTGTCCTACCGTTGGTGCCTTGCTCCTGAGATGGCTCGAGCTCGTCGACTTCAGATGCGTGGGCGGAAGATTCGGAGGCGCTAGACCTGCGTCGTCTGCGTGTAGGCTTCTTCTTTGCCTTTGGCGATGACTTGGCGCGTCCGGCCTCCTGTTCGCGGAGCTGCTTGAGGATGGCCTCTGAAAACGTTTCGGGATCCGATTCCTCGTCGATGGACGAGGCCCGAGCGGGTGCAGATTGGGTGAGAAGAGCACGCTGGCCCGACGGAAGCTCGAGAGACGAGGGCGGTGATTCGGTGGATCGGGGCTGCACTTCAAGATGGAGGTGTTGCGACGTTGACGCATCCGGGTTGCGGCCCTGCTTGGTTGGGCTCTTCTCTACCTCTTGGACTGCGGACCCTGGTTGGGGCCGCCGCACCTCGAGATCGTCAGTGTCGCTCTCTGCAGGAGCATTGCTGCTGCTGACTTGAGCTGCAGCGCCAGATGTGCGCGGACTCGGGGATCGCTGTGCAGGTTGAGGGGACGTTGCTGGCCAGCCTTCTGAGGGCTCCGACTGTTCTGCGAGGGAAGGGGAGGCGGTATACCTGGATCGCAGGATGCGTGCTTGCAGCTCGGAAGGCTCGGCGTCTAAAAGTTGCTGGCGAGTGGCCAGGATGCGCTTTTTGAGGTTCCAGCCCTTTTCAAAGTTTGCTTGCAGGTAAGACTGGAAGCTGGCCGATGAGTGGGTGGGAAGGAGATCGGCAAGCTCCTTGGCGGCGGAATTGAGGCTCCAGGTTGACTCGTGCTTCTCTACAAAGTACGAGATGATGGCCTTGCGATCGTCTTCTGTGTAAGGATTGCGACCGTTGTGGGAACGCTGGACGGGTGCAGTCTGTGCTCGGGTCGAGGGATCTGCGGCTGGCGGGATGCCGTCAAACTTGTACTTTGGATCCTCTGGATCGGCGCGGAGACCGAAGGCGACCGAGTCATGAAGGTAGTTGATGACCACAACGGGGATAGGTTGGCCAATCTGCCTGGCTTCCCTCAGGTACCGTTTTGCGGCGGTGGGCATGTCGGGGTCAACGACGATTAGGTCTGCTTTGCCTAGGCGAGACTCGATGACGCCACCGTGCGAACGAATGGTGATCGAGAGCTCCCTGAATACTTCGGGCGTAAGCTCGCGTGGGATGTGGATGTGCAAGGGCAGGTCGGGCGCTGAGCTTTTGAGAAAGACCTTTGGCTTTGGGTGGACAGCCGGAGGCGGTGGAGCAGGCTTCAAGGTGGATGGTCCTGCGGCTTGCGAGGGTGCGTTGGTGCTTGCGACATCCGGCGGTGGTGGTGCCGATCCGCGAGGTGCGCTGGTTGACACGTTGTTCTCTGGTTCTGGTGACTTGCCATCGACCTTCTCGGGCCCAGGCTGCTGCTGACTGCTGGCGGTAGCAGGCGTTGGCTCCGTGGCCGTGATCGCCGTCTGATCAGCGCTGGTGGCGTCCATGTCGATGCCTAGCCTTCAAAGCTGCCAGCAGCGAGTCGGAAAGATGTGCGTAAGGCTCGTGAAGGTCGAGCGAAGGGGATCGTAGCGTGCCGCTACTGCCATCGAGGCGAGACTGAGGGGCTGCGGCGGAGTAAATAATGTTTGTCGACGGGGGGATGCGCGCCGAAGACCGTCGAAGCGGATCGCAGAGGGGCGAGAGGTGATGTTGAGACGTCGTGAGAAAGTCAAACCAATGCAGAAGCTGGCGATATGAGCCAGTCTGCTTCAGAGGCCGAGTGGGTGGAGGGCTGAAGGCTGGCGGCGAGGAACGGATGCGCGGCCAAGGAGAGATGGAGAAAGGCTCGACGGCTGAGCTCGGCTGGCTGCGCCTATTCGTCGTGGTGTTGGGAGGGCCTGGGATGGTCGGGGCAGAGGCAGGCGGAGACGCCGAATGCTGTGATGAGAAGGAGGAAGGGCGAAGGGCGAAGAGCGCTGCCGGCGAGTGGCTCCTCCACACTCGACGTTCGAAAGCGAGCCGATCCTTCTTTTCGGTGATGAGCTCGCATGGCGGCGGAGCCCAAGGATGCGGAGGTGCTGAAAAATCGAAACGCGTCCGTCCGAGGTGGCGGCGGCGGCTCAGCGACCCGTCGCGTCCAAGAATTTCGGAAGGGGGGAAGCGGAAGAAGCGAAGAAGCGCCAGACGCACGTGACTTAGATTGGCGGAACGCGGGCCAGGCGGGCGCGCCGCGGTCCGTTGGGTGCGTCTGCCTTGAGGCGAGGGAACGGCTCTGAAAGCAGAGCGGATTTCACTCGAGCTGCATTCGAGCTGCATTGCTGCCCGCGTGATGGCGTACTATTTGCGTATGCGTCGACCAAAGTGTGATGTTCTCGGCTAGGTTTAGGAGCAGCGGAACAAACAAAACCGCCGCCTCGCCCCCCTTTTCGGCGGTCCGCAACGGCTTTCTCCTGCTTGGAACTGCACCGTCCCGGTCGAGCCAATTCCGCGTCGTTGGCCTGTTGCCTCGAGTCGACAGTGGGTAGAGCCGCAGCTGTGGCGTGCCTTTTGAAAGCTGGATTCACGCAAAGCATGTGGAAAAGAAGGACTGCATGACCAGCTTCGGCAAGTAAGTGATCAAGAGAGCCTGTCGGAACGGTCCGAATTGCGATAATTGGCGGATACTTTCTTTCATTTAGTCACAATGGACGTTGGCGGTACAACAATGCAGACGACCGAGCGCTCTCTCGCGCCGACTTGCTCGGGAGTCAGTCGGCGCTGGTGCGCAGAATGCCGCTGATTTGCCATTGCATGCGAGCTGTGACGGAAGTGTGTGCTCTGCCAGAGAGGGGTTCTCTCTCTCTCTCTCT